AGGGAAGTGGCTTCATGAATGGTTGATCTGAGAAAATGGTTACGGTTTATTGCATGTTTCATTTATCGTTGGCAGTATATGAGAGTGTTGGAATAAGACCTTAGTTGATAAGAAGTTTTCTACCGGTATTCGGGTGTTGTGGGCAACTGCTGTGAATAGAGGTTATCGTTTCGAGTGTTTGGGTTATGTAGTATATCATATGATTACACCTGAGGTTGCAGGTATGGGTTATTACAGCTGGTTCGGGCTTATTCTGAGTATAGATGTGAGGTTCTGATCTTGTGTATGATTTCGGAAGGTGCAATGTGGTTCTATGGTTTATGGACTAGATGGATTGTGAAATTTCAGCTATGTTGTGTTATCAGACCTATGCGAGATAGGGTGACATGGGATCATCCCCGGGTATATGCTTGGTAAGGTCATTCGGCTATTGGTTGGCTTCTAGGACAACTCTGGGTACGCTCGAGGACGAGCGTTTGTTTAAGTTGGGGAGGATGTGACGACCCGACCTGTCGTCTCATGAGTTACCGCCCCGTTTCCCCCATTTTATGCTTCTTCATGTTTCATTATCGGTATTTGGTGTGTTAGAGTTGATTTGGGTTGGTTTTGGTAGGAAATGAGGCACTTAGTCTCTTTAAGGAAGGTTTGGTTTGGAAAAGTCAACCGGATATTGACTTATGAGTTCGAGGGCTCGGATGTGATTTCCGGTGATTCGGTTAGCTTCGGGGAGTGATTTGTGACTTAGGAGTGTGATCGGAAGTGATTTTGGAGGTCTGGTGTAGAATTAGGCTTGAATTGGCGAAGTTAGTATTTTGGCGATTTCCGGTTGATAGGTGAGATTTTGATCCGAGGTTGCAGTAGCTTCGTTAGGTGATTTGGGATGTGTGTGCAAAATTTCAGATGATTCGGAGGTGATTTGGTTGGGTTTTTGATCGAATGCGTGTTTCGGAAGTTTTGGAAGAACTTAGGCTTGAATTCGATGAGAATTGATAATTTTAGTGTTGTTGGATGTGTTTTTATGATTGGAACAAGTTTGAATAACGTTGTAGGATGCATTGGTATTTTTGGTTGAGGTCCCGGGGGCCTCGAGGTGAGTTCGGACGGTTAAACGGAGAGTTTTGGATTTTTGCATATTGCTAAGTCTGCTGGTATCTGGTATTTTCGCACCTGCGGTCACGCAGAAGCAGAGGAGGAACTCGTAGAAGCGAAAAGGGACTTAGGCAGTTTCCGCAGAAGCGGAAGTGTGGACCGCAGAAGCGGTTCCGCTGGTGCGAAATTGGAGCCGCTGAAGCGGCCGGGGATTTTAAAGAGGAACCGCAGAAGCGGTGTAGTGACCGCAGAAGCGGTCCCGCATAAGAGGAAACGGGACGGCAGAAGCGAGATGACTGGGCAGATTTATTAATTAGTCTTCTTTGCGAATTTTTGAAAGAGTAACATATTTCACTTCGGACTTGGAGCATTTTTGGGCGATTTTGAAGAGGGTTTCAAGGGCTTTGATCAGGTATGAATTCTTGGACATAAAACATGATTTTTTTTGGTGTAAACAAATGGATTAGAGCTGGAAATTCAAGGAATTAATAGGCAAAAATGGTGATTAGGGCTTGAAACCTAAGAGAGCTTAAACTAGGGATTTGAGGGGTCAAATGGACTCTAATTCTTGGGATTTTGATATGTATAGACTCGTGGCGAGATAAGGAATCCGGTGATGTTAATTTTCTGACTTTTCGAGAAGTGGTCCCGGGGCTCGGGTTTTGCGAATTTCGAGATTTTTGCTATTTTTCGATTGTTTTCGATTGGGTATTGTCCCATTGGCATATTGTGATGTATTCGCTCTGATTTTGGATAGATTCGACGCGCGTGGAGGCCGAATTGAGGGGCAAAGGCGTCGCAAACTAGAGATTTTGCCAGTTCGAGGTGAGTAATGATTGTAAATGATATTCTGAGGGTTTGAAACCCCGGATTGCACAATGCTATGTTGAGGTGACTTGCACGCCGGATAGCGAGCGTGGGGTAGAGCACCGTTGGGGATTGTGACTTAGTCTATCCCGATTAATGATTTTACCACGTATTTGATGGAAATCCGTTTGCTGTCATCATTATTTGGGCTGAATGCCATATTTGGGCTTCGTGTCAACTATTTGAACCCTTCGGGGATTGTTGTTGATGTTCCTCACTGTGTTGACTTTATATTTGAACTCAGTCATGTTATTTCCTACTGTTTTCAAAACTCAGCCTCGTTCACTCAGTTTTAATACTCAAATGATATTTAAATGATCTTTTGGGCTGAGAAACACTATTTTATTGTTGCCCGAGTGGCTTATGTGATTTTGTTGACTGAGTAAGGCCGAGGGCCTGAATTGTGAGGATACTAATGGATGTCGTAGCAGTGTTATACTGTTATTGATATGAGGCTGAGGGCCTAGTTTGATGCCACGAGATGGCTTGATATTGCGCTTGGGCCGTAAGGGGCCCCTCCCGGAGTCTGCACACCCCCAGTGAGCGCCGTCGACGTTAAATGGATCGGGCTGCACGCCGCAGCGATATATGGATTGGGCTGCACGCCGCAGCGGTACCGGTACTATTTGGTGTATTTACCTTATTTCATTGTCTGCCATTATATGTTGTTTGTGCTACTTCTTGCAATATTTACCTGTTGCTCTGGTGTTATTGTCACGACCCAATTTCCATACCCGGTCGTGATGGCGCCTCTCGTGAAGACAAGGCCAGCCAATTAACTCCAATTCGTTACCTTAACAATTATTAGACATAAATGAATAGAAAAATATAACCTAACAATATAATAACTGTCACGACCCAAACTGGATGGGCCGCGACGAGCACCCGGTGCCTTACTCAACCGAGTACCAACATAACATATCTTTCTTATCATACTATCATGGTAAATGAGCTAGAAAACTCGTCATGAGATAACAAGAATGAAACATAGGGGAATACTCAACATATGATGACCCACCATGATATGCAAACTTATACATGTGACATACGGGCCTATAAGGCCGACATGACCATTTGTAAACTCAAAACATAAGCCGAAAAGGCCATACAAGTATCCATACACCTGACATCTGTCTACAAGCCTCTAAGAGTACCTAATATCATAAAGGTCGGGACAGGGCCCCGCCATACCAATCAATACATATCCAAAGCATACTGACCAAATAGGCAACTCCGAAGCAAGTGGAGTGCACCAACGCCTTCTGCTGAACTGATAGCCTACTTGGAGGAATGTCAACCTGTCTATCGGGACCTGCGGGCATGAAACGCAGCGTCCCCAGGCAAAAGGGACGTCAGTACAAATAAAGTACCGAGTATGTAAGGTAGGAGAGCATAAACAAGAACAGTAACGTAAAGAGAGATAGAGGAGATACAACCTGTAACATCTGAGTGCATGTGGGGATACTGACATGAATTGCATAATACATATATATACATAAGCTTTTAAAAACATACGCCTCTGTGGGCATCATCATCATCATATCGTACCCGGCCTCAAAGAGGACTCGGTAAAAACGTACCCAGCCATCATAAGGCTCGGTAGAATCATACCCGGCCACGTGGAGCTCGGTAAACCCAACTGATCAGTGGTTGCACAATAGGTGCCATACCCGGCCGACTATAGCGCGGCTCAGTAGAGTAAAGTAGATACACATATAATGCATGCTGGACTCATGGAGTCACGTTCTAAACCTTTTGGAGTGACATAAGGTCATTGCACCATCAATTAACATTATGGACATCATACCATCAATATGAACTTCACTAGGACTCAAGGATCATATATGCTTTCTTGGAATAACTTTGTAAGGAAAGAATAACATGGACAACCTTAGTTGCTAGGAGTAGATTCATTATGAAATAGCGTATCGTTTATATTCGTGTCACTTTAGATCATGCCAAAAGAATGAAGGAAGAGCCTTAACATACCTTGTATATACTGCCCCAATCTCAAGCTATGAAATTTTCACGACTCCTTAGTCTACAATAAGAGAAACGATACTGTAGTTATCATTCAAGCGTCATAACTATTATGTATCGACCATAACCTATTTTACGATGAAACGGACAGCACCTCCCCTATATATATGACTTCACACAATTCCAAACAATCACCAAACAGCCCAAACAATATCAATAATAATCATATTGAGCCTCCCAAAACAGTCCACGCACAACCTAATCACTTCATACATACGACGGCCACCGTAGTCGTGTCAAACGATCCGGAAATGTTACGAAGAACTACCAGCCCACAACCCTACATCTATATGGTGTTTTTCCACATCCTTCCTCCTCCAAAACTCCACAAAACAGTAGTAAAAGATACAACCCAATACCAACACGAAACAGCCCAAAAACAGCGCACAACAAGTCGAATAATTCGAACTCACGACTTCCAATCACCGTCCCGTGAGTTCTAGCTATTAGGAAATGAATTTATCAACATTCCTTCATATTTAAAAGCTTAAATACAGAAATAAGGCATTTTCTTAACTATTAAATACCTTCCAAAACTCCAACTACAAAGAAAAAGAGAGGCAATATAGCGATACTCACGTCGTGGGGATCGTTCTAGTGTTATTGCTTCGTGATTTTGTGCCTCGGATGATAATCTTGTTGGATAACCTTGTGGACAGCTTAAGGGTGAGGTTAGGGGTCTTATTTGGTCGAGCTCTCTGGAATTATGAAGAATGAGATGACATAGGAAGATAAATATCCATTTTGGTTGAAAAGTCAAAAGGTGCTACTTGGCACCATCTCATTGGCCCTTTTTCAAATACCTATATCTTTTTATCCGGATATCGTATGAACGAACGGTTAAGAGTGTTGGAAACTAGATTCCAAGACCTTCAATTTGATATATAATATGTCCCAAAAAGACCTCATATAACACACGAAATGTATTGCTCAAAAAGCTTTAGTGACACACCTACTTGCCAACTATACAGTCTGTGCAGTCTTGCAAAACTGCAAATATCTCTCTACCCTGATGTCGTATCGAAGAACGGTTTAATGCATTGGAAACTAGACTCGTAGATATTCAATTTGATATGTAGATCATCCATTGATTCCAAGTATATTGGGAGAAAAGTGCATCTACATTTGACCTAAATGTCAGCAAATTATAAATGGAACTTGTGATGACCTTTTCCAACTTTTGTTCCACAACTCGCTTGACTTCAAAACATAACACCAACTATCGTACGACTAAAATAACTCATAATATAATCTCGTTATAATGTTAATAAGCCTAGTATCACCCCAAAAGTACATGGTAAAATATTCCAACTTGTCGACTTTCGACGAAACTTATTTTCTTCAATTCGTTTAGCTTCTAAGCCTTCAAACCCTCTTGCTACTTGGTACTAATGATCTTAAATATTTGTAACCTCCACATTAACATGATGAACTAACTTTCTAAACTTTTAAAAGATGATTCCCTTTCTGAGCTCACATTAATTGACTTATGACGTACTCTTACATACGATAACACGGGGTGTAACAAAAAGATGAGCGAGTTTGTTTTCCTAGTTGACATGCATCACAGATATGATCCTTTGAAAAAACTAATTTTGGAAGTCCAATGACGAGGTCATTTTTAGAATGTTTTTGAATAGTATGCATGCTGGCATGACCATGTTTTCTATGCCACACCCAAGGATCATCAACTATAGAAGCAAGACAGATTTGATCCCCAAGATTATCTAGGTTGCTAATAGTATAAACATTTCTGTCTCTATTACCTGAAAGGATGATTTTACCTGATTCATCTTCTATGAACCAACCATGTTTCTTAAAACGAACCTCATAATCATTATCATATAGTTGACTAATGCTGAGAAGATTGTAGCCGAGTTCATCAACAAGGTAAACTTCATCTACATCACATGTTGGACTTAGAGGAACTTTTCCAACACCAATTACATTTCCTTTGGATTTGTCTCCAAATGTAACTATTCCTCCATCTAGTCTAGTGACTGTTTTGAAAAGTTGTTTGTCACCAGTCATATGTCTGGAACACGCGCTGTCGAGATACCATTTTCCTTTTCGATTCTTCTTGCGTTGTTCCTCACTAGCTCCTTCATCTGCCATGAGACCAAGTTGCTCTGAGTCTTCTTCTTCATTTATTCTTCTGTTTCCTGAGAATCCACGTTCTCCTGATTCTTCATTGTTGTCATCTTCTAGGGCCATGAAGCACATATTTGCACTTTCTTCATGATCACATTCTTCTTCATCACTCCAGGTTCCAAAAGACTTCTTCCTTTGAAGATTCCTGCTCAGCTTCTTTTTCAGATCTGGACAGTCAGCTTGAATGTGTCCATGTTTACCACATTCGTAGCATCTTCCATCGTTTTCATTATTCTTCCTTTCCTTTCTGAAATTTGGTTTACCTCTTCCGCTATTCCTGTTTCTTCTCATCATACTGGTCACGACTTGAGAACCATGGCTATATTTTCATCTTGTTCTCCTCCTTCATTTTCCTCTTCATCTTCTAGTTCAGCCACAGTTGCTTTGAAGGCGACTGTTTTCTTCTTTTCTTGTTGAATCTGTCTATCCAAGTGAGTTTTCTCAAAAGCGATTAGATCACCTCTGAGTTCATCATAGGACATTTTATCGAGATCCTGACATTCGAGTGCAATGACTTTTGGCTGCCAAAATAGTGGGTAGACTTCTGAGAATTTTTCTGACTTGTTCTTCGCTTTTTATAGTTCTACCAAAGGATTTCAAGTCTCCAAGAATTTTGCTGAACCTGGAGAATATTTCTTCAGCAGATTCTCCATCCTTCATTTGAAATAGCTCATACTCACGAACCAATATATTTATCCTTGTTTCTTTTACTTTGTTTGTCCCTTCTTATGTGACTTCCAATTTATCCCACATTTCCTTAGCAGTTTTACAGCTAGAGATTTTTTCATATTCTTCACCATTGATGTCACGACCCGGATTTTCCACCCTCAGGAGTCGTGATGGAGCCTACTAATAGGAGCTAGGCAAGCCAATTAATTTAACACTTCTCTCAACATCATTAACAAAACAAAGAAGAACGAGGCAATTAATATAAAAGCGGAAGTCTCGAAAATATAAATAACTGAAACCAAGTGCGAAAATTCAAATACACCTCTACCCAGATCTGGTGTCACTAACTCACGAACTTCTACTGAATGCTAAATACAAAGTCTGAATGAGAATACAATACTGTCTGATCCGATACAAGGGAAATCAAACGAAAGACAGAGATAAGAGAGAGACTCCGGGCCATGCGGACGCCAGCAAGCTACCTCGGAATCTCCGGACTGAAGTAAGCTCCCAACGCTCCTACTGCTGACCAAAGGCTCCTGCTCCGGTACTATGATCTGTGCAAAAACCACAGAAGTGTAGCATCAGCACAACCGACCCCATGTGCTGGTAAGTGCCTGGCCTAACCCCGGCGAGGTAGTGATGAGGCTAGACAGGACCTACCAAAAACAACCTGTGCAGATATATATATACAAAGGCAACAGAAATAACAACAGAGAACATCAACTAAAAGGGGAAGGGGGCATGCTCGGGGAAAAATACAGCGAATACAGATCAACGGATATAACGACGAAACTATCTCAATACCATAGCTCATATATAAGTGGTCGGCGCGCCACACGATCCCTTTTATTAATTCATAAGTGGATGGCGTGCCACACGATCCCATTTCATAATATATAAGTGGTCGGCGTGCCACACGATCCCAGTTCATAATATATATATATATATATATATATAAGTGGACGGCGTGCCACACGATCCCATGTCATAGTATATAAGTGGACGGCGTGCCACACGATCCCATATCATAGTTCAAAATATCTGACTTTGTAAAGAAGGCCCCATTAGGGTAATTCGACAACCTAACACTTTAACCCGGCAAGGGTACAGCTAACAGCCCAAATATCCCGGCAAGGGAGAGTACATAATAATAGTCTACACGTCTCGGCAAGGGAATAATCACAACACGTCCTCTTTTAAATCACTTCTTTCTCAACTATCACATTCTTGTTCGAGCCAACGCTCCAAAATATACAAATCACAATTCTTCCTCAACCGTTCACATTATATGAAATTTATCAATTTAACAAGGAAGTAGTGTCACATCATTCGCATTACAAGCAATTAAGACTCACGGCCATGCTAGACTCCGGTGCATAGATAACCGTCACCATGTCTATACACCGTACTCCACATTTAGCAAGTAGCAAATAACATCCTAATCCTATTCCCTCAAGCCAAAGTTAGAACAAACACTTACCTCGGTCTAAGAATAGCAATCAACTCTCTAAACCGCCTTTCCTCTACAATCCAACTCCGAAACAATGATATCTAGTCATAATTAGTTCAATAATATCAATAAGGGCTCAAAAACATAATCCCATAGCCTAGAAATGAAATTCCAATCATTCTTCCAAAAACACCAAAATTCGACACCGGTCCCACATGGTCCAAACACGAGGCTCGGACCAAAACCCAATCACCCATAACCCCACGAGTTCAAATATATAATTTATTTCAAGATTCGACCCCAAATTGAGGTTGAATCACCCAAAATCCCCAAAACCCTAACTCTACCCAAAACCCCCATTTTCTACTTTGATTTCATGATTTAGGGCTAGGAATTTAGTGATTAGTGAAGAAAAAATGAAGGAATTAGGTGGGGAATTACTTACCCAAAAAGTCTTGGAAGAGGGGAGCTTCAATGGAGTCCTAAGGCTTGATAGAGAAGAGAGCTCGTGAGAAGAAATGAATAATTCCCGAGCTACTGTTCTGTTTTTACTTAAAAATTCGCTGGGCAAAATTGCCCTTCGCGTTCGTGGGAGAGGGGCCGCATTCGCGAAGGGTAAACTGGGCAAGACATCATGAACGCGTGAAAGGGAACGCGAACGCGTAGAGGAAAAATGCTGGGGTCCAAGATTGGCCTACGCGAACGCGTGTTAAGGGACGCGAACGCGATAGAGGACATAACAAATCATCGCGATCGCGATGGCCAGAGCGCGAACGCGATGAAGGGAAATACTGGGGCTTGAATTTGACTTACGCGTTCGCGAGGGTGAAGACGCGAACGCGAAGTGGGAAGGCACAGAACTACGCGGACGCGGACCTAGTGATGCGAACGCGATGAAGAAAACCCCTGTGCAAAAATTGCAGAAAATCTGCTAACTTCTTAAGTGCAAAAACACCCCGAACCACCTCCAATTCACTCCCGAGCCCTCGGGGCTCCTAACCAATCACACACACTAACTCAATAACATCCTACGAACTTACTCGAGCGATCAAATTGCCAAAATAACATCAAAATCAATGAATCAAGCCTCAAAATCGTCATTTTCATTTCAAACTTCATAACATCAAATTTTTGATATTTAGGTCCGAAACACGTCAAATGACATCCGATGTCGGCCAAACTTTACAGAAAGCGCTTAACACATATTTTAGACTTGTACCGGGTGTCGGAACCAAAATACGAGCCCGATACCATAGTCTTTTAATCAATTTTCATTTCTATTTTCCTTAGTAATTTCAGAAAAACAATTTCACAGAAAAATTCATTTCTCGGGCTCTCGACCTCGAAATTCGACTCCGAGCATATGCCCGAGTCCCATATTTTTCTACGGACCCTCTGGGACCGTCAAATCACGGGTTCGGGCCCGTTTACCAAAAATGTTGACCAAAGTCAACTTTAGCAATATTAATATCAAAATTCTTCAAACTTTTCACATAATTCATATATTTCAACATAAAAACTTTCTGGCTACGCGCCCGGACTGCGCACGCAAATCGAGGCAACTAAAAGTGAGGTTTCAAGGCCTCGGAAGCACGGAATGACTAAGAAAACAAGTGATGACCCTTTGGGTCGTCACAATTGATAGCATTGTACAACAGATTTTTTGCTTGTTATAACAGCAGCTTGCTCATCAGTGTAATCGTCCAATTCAAGTGGACCAGTGGATACTATATCTTGACCATTTGCGTCTTTTCGAGGAGGAATTGGAAGATTTCCCTTTTTGATTACTCGCTAGACTTTGATATCATAAGACATAGTGTAGGTTTCCATGCGCACCTTCCAATGAGAAAAATGTTGACCATTGAAGTATGACTGAATTGAGAGCAGAAGTAAAGTGACAGTAACTAAATAAAGAAAGACACACAGCAATTTTATACTATTTCGGTACCGGTGAGGTACTTACCTCCAGTTTCCCTTGGGTCAAAAGGGTTCCTTTTAGATCTTGAAAGAATTACAACAGAGATAGATTTGATTCGTTCACCACCAACGAAGTACAATACTCAGTGAATCTGAAAAATGACACAACTCTCTTTTGTGTTCTAACTTCTTCCTATCTTTTGAGACACTGATAAACTTTAGATTACAGTGTTTATGCTAAGAAGTAGGGAGACTTAGAAGACAATGTATGTAGTTGCGCAAGTCTTCCTTTTGAGCCAAGCAGCCTTCTTATAGAAGATGAAAAATAGCCGTTGATATCTTGACCAGAAATAGAGGCACGAGATCTTTGAAAAGGATTTGACCCAAGGGGTGCCTCTTCTAATTCTGCTCTTTGGGAAAGAACAGATTCGATGGTGACTTTCCTTTGTCACAACCTTCATATACGAGACAGTCAATCCCTTGACTGAGCTTTAATTGAGGAGCTGAATATGGCAATAACTTCTTCATTTGAAAACTGATTACCTTGATTGAAGCTGGGTAGATCAGCAACCTTTTTGGTTCCTTCTATAGATCCATTGATTTTGGCAACGGATTTCTTTTTCCTTTTTGATGAGTTCTGCAAATAAGAATAATTAGAAATTGTCATCATTGAAACTTAAGAATTTAACTTAACATAGCATGTTGGTCAAGCTTCTCCCCAGGCGAAAACTGTTTTTTTTCCTTTTCGAAAGTACTTTTTCCACAATTTGAGGTGTTTGGCCAAACTTATTTATTGAGGGGAGGGGTGGAAGAGTTTTTCGAAAGTGTTGGTGAAATTACAAGTAATTACAGTTGAAAAATAAGATGTAAAAAAATAAATAAATATTCTTCAGGCTGAGGCGCGGATATCTCGCTCTCTTTAAGGAGATTCAAGCCCATTGCGGTAGCATCTTCACCGGTCCAGCAGCAATACTCTTGACTTGTCTCCTCCAGGATACAACAGCCCGACAACGTCGTATGACTTGAACAAACTCTGTACAAGTTGTTGAGTCCAAAGCTCCACCAAAATGAACAACTTCCTTTAATAAAAATAATATTCTCTTTTGTAGAGAATAAGTTGGAGACTTAGATTTTCTCCTTCTCTTAACTCTCTTTTTCACTACACTAAGTTCTTTTTTTTCATACACACTACCATATTTTTCCATCTACAACACAAGGAAGAAACACCATTATTTATAGGTATAAAATTTCT